TTAGGACATTCATGGCACAGTGACATATCACACTTAGGACATCAATGGTACAGTGACACTTAGAACATCCATGGCACAGTGACATATCACACTCAGGACATCAATGGTATAGTGACATGTGACACTTAGGACATCCATGACACAGTGACATATCACACTTAGGACATCAATGGTACAGTGACATGTGACAGGACATCCATGGCACAGTGACATATCACACTTAGGACATCAATGGTACAGTGACATGTGACACTTAGGACATTATTGGCACAATGACATACGACACTCAGGACATCTATGGCCTAGTGATGTGACACTTAGTACACCCATGACCTAGTGACGTGACACTTAGGACATCTATGGCCTAGTGACATATGACACTTAGGACATCCATGGCCTAGTGATGTGACACTTAGGATATCCATGGCCCAGTGACATGTGACACTCTTAAGACATCTGTGGCACAGTTACATGTGACACTTAGAACATCCATGGCACAGTGATCTATCAAATTTAGGACATCAATGGTACAGTGACTGTGACACTTAGGACATCCATGGCACAGTGACATATCACACTTAGGACAACAATGGTACAGTGAAATGTGACATTTAGAACATCCATGGCACAGTGACATATCACACTTAGGACATCAATGGTACAGTGACATGTGACACTTAGGACATCCATGGCACAGTGACATATCACACTTAGGACATCAATGGTACAGTGACATGTGACACTTAGGACATCCATGGCACAGTGACATATCACACTTAGGACATCAATGGTACAGTGACATGTGACACTTAGGACATCCATGGCTTAGTGATGTGACACTTAGGACATCAATGGATTAGTGACTGACACTTATGACATCCATGGCCTAGTGATGTGACACTTAGGACATCCATGGCCTAGTGACATATGACACTTAGGACATCCATGGCCTAGTGACATGGCATTTAGGACATCCATGGCCTAGTGACATGACACTTAGGACATCAATGGCCTAGTGACTGACACTTATGACATCCATGGCCTAGTGATGTGACACTTAGGACATCCATGGCCTAGTGTTATATGACACTTAGGACATCCATGGCCTAGTGATGTGACACTTAGGACATCCATGGCCTAGTGACGTGACACTAAGGACATCCATGGCCTAGTGATGTGACACTAAGGACATCCATGGCACAGTGACGTGACACTTAGGACATCCATGACCTAGTGATGTGACACTTAGGACATCCATGGCCGAGTCATGTGACACTTAGGACATCCATGGCCTAGTGACATATGACACTTAGGACATCTATGGCCTAGTGATGTGACACTTAGGACATCCATGGCATAGTGACGTGACACTTAGGACATCCATGACTTAGTGACATATGACACTTAGGACATCCATGGCCTAGTGATGTGACACTTAGGACACCCATGGCCTAGTGATGTGACAGGACATCCATTGCCTAGTGATGTGACACTTAGGACATCAATGGTACCATGACATGTGACACTTAGGACATCCATGGCACAGTGACATATCACACTTAGGACATCAATGGTACAGTGACATGTGACACTTAGGACATCCATGGCACAGTGACATATCACACTTAGGACATCAATGGTACAGTGACATGTGACACTTAGGACATCCATGGCTTAGTGATGTGACACTTAGGACATCAATGGCCTAGTGACATATGACACTTAGGACATCAATGGCCTAGTAACTGACACTTATGACATCCATGGCCTAGTGATGTGACACTTAGGACATCCATGGCCTAGTGACATATGACACTTAGGACATCTATGGCCTAGTGACATGGCATTTAGGACATCCATGGCCTAGTGACATGACACTTAGGACATCAGTGGCCTAGTGACTGACACTTATGACATCTATGGCCTAGTGATGTGACACTTATGACATCCATGGCCTAGTGTAATATGACACTTAGGACATTTATGGCCTAGTGATGTGACACTTAGGACATCCATGGCCTAGTGATGTGACACTTATGACATCCATGGCCTAGTGTTATATGACACTTAGGACATTTATGGCCTAGTGATGTGACACTTAGGACATCCATGGCCTAGAGACGTGACACTAAGGACATCCATGGCCTAGTGATGTGACACTTAGGACATCCATGGCACAGTGACGTGACACTTATAACATCCATGGCCTAGTGATGTGACACTTAGGACATCCATGGCCTAGTCATGTGACACTTAGGACATCCATGGTCTAGTGACATGACACTTAGGACATCCATGGCCTAGTGATGTGACACTTAGGACAGCCATGGCCTAGTGATTGACACTTAGGACATCCATGGCCTAGTGATGTGACACTTAGGACATCCATGACCTAGTGACATATGACACTTAGGACATCCATGGCCTAGTGATGTGACACTTAGGACACCCATGGCCTAGTGATGTGACAGGACATCCATGGCCTAGTGATGTGACACTAAGGACATCAATGGTACCATGACATGTGACACTTAGGACATCCATGGCACAGTGACATATCACACTTAGGACATCAAGGGTACAGTGACATGTGACACTTAGGACATCCATGGCTTAGTGATATGGGACACTCAGGACATCCATGGCCTAATGATGTGACACTTAGACATACATGACCTAGTGACATATGACACTTATGACATCCATGGCCTAGTGACATGGCATTTAGGACATCCATGGCACAGTGACATGTGACACTTAGAACATCCATGGCACAGTGATGTGACACTTAGGATATCCATGGCCTAGTGACATATGAAACTTAGGACATCCATGGCCTAGTGACATATGAAACTTAGGATATCCATGGCCTAGTGACATATGAAACTTAGGACATCCATGGCCTAGTGATGTGACACTTAAGACATCCATGGCCTAGTGATGTGACACTTAGGACATCCATGGCCTAGTGATGTGACACTTAGGACATCCATGGCCTAGTGACATATGACACTTATGACATCCATGGCCTAGTGATGTGACACTTAGGACATCCATGGCCTAGTGACATATGGCACTTAGGACATCAATGGCCTAGTGACATGACATTTAGGACATCCATGGCCTAGTGACACATGAAACTTAGGACATCCATGGCCTAGTGATGTGACACTAAGGACATCCATGGCCTAGTGATGTGACACTTAGGACATACATGGCCTAGTGATGTGACACTTAGGACATCCATTGCCTAGTCACGTGACACTTAGGACATCCATGGCCTAGTGACATATGACACTTAGGACATCCATGGCCTAGTGATGTGACACTTAGGACATTCATGGCCTAGTGATGTGACACTTAGAACATCCATGGCCTAGTCATGTGACACTTAGGACATCCATGGCCTAGTGATGTGACACTTAGGACATCCATGGCCTAGTGACATATGACACTTAGGACATCCATGGCCTAGTGACATATGACACTTATGACATCCATGGCCTAGTGTCATGACACTTAGGACATCCATGGCCCAGTGACTGACACTTATGACATCCATGGCCTAGTGACCTGACACTTAGGACATCCATGACCTAGTGACATATGACACTTAGGACATACATGGACTAGTGACATATGACACTTATGACATCCATGGCCTAGTGATGTGACACTTAGGACATCCATGGCCTAGTGACGTGACACTTAGGACATCCATGGCCTAGTGACATATGACACTTAGGACATCCATGGCCTAGTGACATGTGACACTTAGGACATCCATGGCCCAGTGACATGTGACACCCTTAAGACATCTGTGGCACAGTGACATGTGACACTTAGAACATCCATGGCACAGTGACATATCACATTTAGGACATCAATGGTACAGTGACTGTGACACTTAGGACATTCATGGCACAGTGACATATCACACTTAGGACATCAATGGTACAGTGACATGTGACACTTAGGACATCCATGGCCTAGTGATGTGACACTTAGGACATCCATGGCCTAGTGATGTGACACTTAGGACATTCATGGCCTAGTGATGTGACACTTAGGACACCCATGGCCTAGTGATGTGACAGGACATCCATGGCCTAGTGATGTGACACTTAGGACATCCATGGCCTAGTGATGTGACAGGACATCCATGGCCTAGTGATGTGACACTTAGGACATCCATGGCCTAGTGACATATGACACTTAGGACATCCATGGCCTAGTGACGTGACACTTAGGACATCCATGGCCTAGTGACATGACACTTAGGACATCCATGGCCTAGTGACTGACACTTAGGACATCCATGGCATAGTGACATGTGACGCTCTCAAGACATCTGTAACATGTGACACTCACGGGACATCTGTGGCCCAAGAACATGTAACACTCAGGAGACCTCAGATGGACAGAAACAAAATGCCAAAAGATCTGAAATGTAGTCAACACTGGACAGTGAAACTATGCCACAGGGGAAATCACTCTGCAGAACACAGGTCATAAAATGGAACAATGTATAAGAATCTAGGAGACCATGTTTAAGTCATGTCATATTGCTCGTACATTCAGATACAACTTCACGTTACACAATGGACATGAATATGAACTGATGTTGCTGATATGACAGGTTCCGTCAACATTCTAATGGCTAGACTGTGACAGGTTCTGGCAACATCCTAATGGCTAGTCTGTTACAGGTTCCGGCAACATCCTGATGGCTAGACTGTGACAGGTTCCGGCAAGATCTTGATGGCTAGACTGTGACAGGTTCCAGCAACATCCTGATGGCTAGACTGTGACAGGTTCTGGCAACATCCTGATGGCTAGACTGTGACAGGTTCCGGCAACATCCTGATGGCTAGACTGTGACAGGTTCTGGCAACATCCTGATGGCTAGACTGTGACAGGTTCTGGCAACATCCTGATGGCTAGACTGTGACAGGTTCCGGCAACATCCTGATGGCTGATCTTGGATGACAGGCAGGCAGCTAATCAGCAATCTCAGAAAATATGTTATCCAATGGTTGCCATCTGGATTTTTCCAAGGCTGTAAAAAATGACTGCAGAAGAAATGAGACAATGACTATAATAAGAAATAAGACAATTATTATAAGAAGAAATGAGACACTGACTATAAGAAAAAATGAGACAATTACTATAAGAAGAAATGAGACACGGACTAAAAGAAGAGATGAGACACTGACTTTAAGAAGAAATGAGACACTGACTTCAAGAAGAAATGAGACAATTACTATAAGAAGAAATAAGACAATTATTATAAGAAGAAATGAGACACTGACTATAAGAAGAAATGAGACAATGACTATAAAAAGAAATGAGACAATTACCATAAAAAGAAATGAGACACTGACTATAAGAAGAAATGAGACACTGACTATAAGAAGAGAAGAAATGAGACAATGACTATAAAAAGAAATGAGACAATTACTATAAGAAGAAATGAGACAATTACTATAAGAAGAAATGAGACAATTACTATAAGAAGAAATGAGACACTGACTATAAGAAGAAATGAGACACTGACTATAAGAAGAAATGAGACACTGACTATACGAAGAAATGAGGCACTGACTATAAGAAGAAATGAGACAATTACTATAAGAAGAAATGAGACAATTACTATAAGAAGAAATGAGACACTGACTATAAGAAGAAATGAGACACTGACTATAAGAAGAAATGAGACACTGACTATAAGAAGAAATGAGGCAATACTATAAGAAGAAATGAGACAATTATTATAAGAAGAAATGAGACAATTATTATAAGAAGAAATGAGACACTGACTATAAGAAAAAATGAGACAATTACTATAAGAAGAAATGAGACACGGACTAAAAGAAGAGATGAGACACTGACTTTAAGAAGAAATGAGAAACTGACTTCAAGAAGAAATTAGACAATTACTATAAGAAGAAATAAGACAATTATTATAAGAAGAAATGAGACACTGACTATAAGAAGAAATGAGACAATGACTATAAAAAGAAATGAGACAATTACCATACAAAGAAATGAGACACTGACTATAAGAAGAAATGAGACACTGACTATAAGAAGAGAAGAAATGAGACAATGACTATAAAAAGAAATGAGACAATTACTATAAGAAGAAATGAGACAATTACTATAAGAAGAAATGAGACACTGACTATAAGAAGAAATGAGACACTGACTATAAGAAGAAATGAGACACTGACTATAAGAAGAAATGAGACACTGACTATAAGAAGAAATGAGACACTGACTATAAGAAGAAATGAGACACTGACTATAAGAAGAAATGAGACACTGACTATAAGAAGAAATGAGACACTGACTATAAGAAGAAATGAAACACTGACTATAAGAAGAAATGAGACACTGACTATAAGAAGAAATGAGACACTGACTATAAGAAGAAATGAGACACTGACTATAAGAAGAAATGAGACACTGACTATAAGAAGAAATGAGACACTGACTATAAGAAGAAATGAGACACTGACTATAAGAAGAAATGAGACACTGACTATAAGAAGAAATGAGATACTGACTATAAGAAGAAATGAGACACTGACTATAAGAAGAAATGAGACACTGACTATAAGAAGAAATGAGACACTGACTATAAGAAGAAATGAGACACTGACTATAAGAAGAAATGAAACACTGACTATAAGAAGAAATGAGACACTGACTTTAACCCTATCAGACCGCTCTCCCGTTTTTCCGGGAATTTCATAACTGTTCTCCATATTGCTGGCCCTAAATTTCGGCTATTTGCATAGTGCGTGAAAAAGATGCGTCACTGACTAAAAATAACCAACCAATCGTCATCAGTCCGCTTTGTTAGAGATTGCAAATGGCTTCCCCATGTGTGTGAATCAATTTTGTGTGTTTTAACGTGAAAAAATTTGGAAAATTCAGAATGAAGCGAGTGGCTGATAAACCAAGTTCTAGGCTTTTCACAGTCCAACAAGTAATCGATAATTTGGTTTATTCAGACTCTGTGATATATATATATATATATTCTGTGATAATTTCATAAAGAATACGTTCTTGAAATGACACTGTCAGTGAGAGCGCAAATGATGAGGAAAATCTTGAAAATTATCAATCTTGAAATAGATCGATAGTAGGAGGAGGGGGTGTGTCCATCAAACGTCAACATCTGGTGTTCACTTTGTGAAAAAAGTTGATCCTGATGAGTACATTCGCACACAAAGGTAGAATATTGGTGCTCGATAAAGGGTAATCCTATTTTCTACAATGTCTCCAAGTTTCATCATATTCTAGCCACTCGTTTGCATGTAACTAATATTTTTGTATATCAAGTTGGTTTTTTCGTGGTAATGCCCAGGAGCTCAGGTTATAGGGACAGTTAGGTTCAGGGCCTTAGGTCTGGTAGGGTTAAGAAGAAATGAGACACTGACTATGAGAAGAATGGTTGCTACAACATAACATGTAAACGTGAGCTACACAAACTAAAAACTTGCTACAATGTAATACATAAACTTGGGCTACACAAACTAAATACTTGCTATAATGTAATACATAAACCTGGGCTACACAAACTAAATACTTGCTACAATGTAATACATAAACCTGAGCTACACAAACTAAATACTTGCTACAATGTAATACATAAACCTGGGCTACACAAACTAAATACTTGCTACATTGTAATACATAAACCTGAGCTACACAAACTGAATACTTGCTACAATGTAATACTACAATGTACATACAACTAAATACTTGGCTACACAAATAAAAACCTGACTTGCTACTAAATACTTGCTGTAATACATAAACCTGAGCTACACAAAATCCTATAATAAACTACAATGTAATACTACATTGTAATACATAAACCTGAGCTACACAAACTAAATACTTGCTTCATTGTAATACATAAACCTGAGCTACACAAACTAAATACTTGCTACAATAAACCTACATACATACTTGCTACAATGTAATACTACACACACAAACTAAATACTTGCTTTATTGTAATACATAAACCTGAGCTACACGAACTAAATACTTGCTACAATGTAATACATAAACCTGAGCTACACAAACTAAATACTTGCTTCATTGTAATACATAAACCTGAGCTACACAAACTAAATACTTGCTACAATGTAATACATAAACCTGAGCTACACGAACTAAATACTTGCTACAATGTAATACATAAACCTGGGCTACACAAACTAAATACTTGCTTCATTGTAATACATAAACCTAAGCTACACGAACTAAATACTTGCTACAATGTAATACATAAACCTGAGCTACACAAACTAAATACTTGCTACAGTGTAATACATAAACCTGGGCTACACAAACTAAATACTTGCTTCATTGTAATACATAAACCTGAGCTACACAAACTAAATACTTGCTACAGTGTAATACATAAACCTGGGCTACACAAACTGAATACTTGCTTCATTGTAATACATAAACCTGAGCTACATGAACTAAATACTTGCTACAATGTAATACATAAACCTGAGCTACACAAACTAAATACTTGCTTCAATGTAATACATAAACTTGGGCTACACAAACTAAATACTTGTTATAATGTAATACATAAACCTGGGCTACACAAACTAAATACTTGCTACAATGTAATACATAAACCTGGGCTACACAAACTAAATACTTGCTACAATCTTATACATAAACCTGGGCTACACAAACTAAATACTTGTTATAATGTAATACATAAACCTGGGCTACACAAACTAAATACTTGCTACAATGTAATACATACACCTCAGCTATTTAAGCTAAACACACACTGCCATCATATTTTTGAACTGGTAACTGATATGACTTCATCAATGAAAATCTGACACATTATGTAAAATCATGGTCTAGTCAGGTAATAACAGTCCATAGTCACAGCAAATAGGTCCTCTATGGTCACAGCAAACAGGTTATCTATGGTCACAGCAAACAGGTTATCTATGGTCAGAGCAAATAGGTAATCTATCGTCACAGCAAACAGGTCATCTTCACAGCAAACAGGTAATCTTCACAGCAAACATGTCATCTATGGTCACAGCAAATAGGTCATCTATGGTCACAGCAAACAGGTCATCTGTGGTCACAGCAAACAGGTCATCTATGGTCACAGCAAACAGGTCATCTATGGTCACAGCAAACAGGTCATCTATGGTCACAGCAAATAGGTCATCTATGGTCACAGCAAACAGGTCATCTGTGGTCACAGCAAACAGGTCATCTATGGTCACAGCAAACAGGTCATTTATGATCACAGCAAACAGGTCATCTATGGTCACAGCAAACAGGTCATCTATGATCACAGCAAACAGGTCATCTATGGTCACAGCAAACAGGTCATCTATAATTACAGCAAACAGGTCATCTATGGTCACAGCAAATAGGTCATCTATGGTCACAGCAAACAGGTCATCTTCACAGCAAATAGGTCATCTATGGTCACAGCAAACAGGTCATCTATGATCACAGCAAACAGGTCATCTATAATCACAACAAACAGGTCATCTATGGTCACAGCAAACAGGTCATCTATTGTCACAGCAAACAGGTCATCTATGGTCACAGCAAACAGGTCATCTATCGTCACAGCAAACAGGTCATCTCATTCATTCCTGTGCCCACAACAATTATTGTCACTTTTGACAAATCTGGCAAAGACTCAGCAAATCCAACAGCACACACACATTAAATGCATAAGGCAGCCATCAGACTTGCCAAAACAAACAGTCCAACAACAGAAATGAAGTTCATCATTAATGGAAGCAGCGGTTACAAGAGATCAGTAGTTGCACACATAATTATCTACGTAAGGCACTACCAGTTAGTTTGTGGCAACAGGTTACTTGCCATTTTCTGAATTCACAGTACATTACACAAACCAAGTTGGGCACAGTCAAAAAGAATTCCAAATTAAATCTACAGCTCACAGTGTCACATTACACACTCAGCTTAGTAGCTGGGTGATACAACTATATCCTATCATCTAAATACAAAGGAAAATGTAAAGGTCAGCTACTGTTGATTATATCTTTAAACAGACTCACCTCACTGGACTCAATAAACTCCCGGTTCTCTTTGCCCACATTAATTTCTAGACCAGGATCTGCTTCAACAATATAACAAACATGTTTTTAATGTACGACAAAGATTTCCTCCTTCTAAACATACATCAAACATGTCCTCCTCCACACATACATCAAACATGTCCTCCTCCACACATACATCAAACATGTCCTCCTCCACACATACATCAAACATGTCCTCCTACAAAACATACATCAAACATGTCCTCCTACAAAACATACATCAAACATGTCCTCCTCCACACATACATCAAACATGTCCTCCTCCACACATATATCAAACATGTCCTCCTCCACACATACATCAAACATGTCCTCCTCCACACATACATCAAACATGTCCTCCTCCACACATATATCAAACATGTCCTCCTCCACACATATATCAAACATGTCCTCCTCCACACATATATCAAACATGTCCTCCTCCACACATACATCAAACATGTCCTCCTCCACACATACATCAAACATGTCCTCCTCCACACATACATAAAACATGTCCTCCTCCACACATATATATCAAACATGTCCTCCTCCACACATACATCAAACATGTCCTCCTCCACACATACATCAAACATGTCCTCCTCCACACATATATATCAAACATGTCCTCCTCCACACATACATCAAACATGTCCTCCTCCACACATATATCAAACATGTCCTCCTCCACACATACATCAAACATGTCCTCCTCCACACATACATCAAACATGTCCTCCTCCACACATACATCAAACATGTCCTCCTCCACACATACATCAAACATGTCCTCCTCCACACATACATCAAACATGTCCTCCTCCACACATACATCAAACATGTCCTCCTCCACACATACATCAAACATGTCCTCCTCCACACATATATATCAAACATGTCCTCCTCCACACATATATATCAAACATGTCCTCCTCCACACATATATCAAACATGTCCTCCTCCACACATACATCAAACATGTCCTCCTCCACACATATATCAAACATGTCCTCCTCCCCACATACATCAAACATGTCCTCCTCCACACATATATCAAACATGTCCTCCTCCACACATACATCAAACATGTCCTCCTCCACACATACATCAAACATGTCCTCCTCCACACATACATCAAACATGTCCTCCTCCACACATACATCAAACATGTCCTCCTCCACACATACATCAAACATTTCCTCCTACCAAACATACATCAAACATGTCCTCCTCCACACATACATCAAACATGTCCTCCTCCACACATATATCAAACATGTCCTCCTCCACACATACATCAAACATGTCCTCCTCCACACATATATCAAACATGTCCTCCTCCACACATATATCAAACATGTCCTCCTCCACACATATACATCAAACATGTCCTCCTCCACACATATATCAAACATGTCCTCCTCCACACATACATCAAACATGTCCTCCTCCACACATACATCAAACATGTCCTCCTCCACACATATATCAAACATGTCCTCCTCCACACATATATATCAAACATGTCCTCCTCCACACATATATCAAACATGTCCTCCTCCACACATACATCAAACATGTCCTCCTCCACACATATATCAAACATGTCCTCCTACACACATATATCAAACATGTCCTCCTCCACACATATATCAAACATGTCCTCCTCCCCACATATATCAAACATGTCCTCCTACACACATATATCAAACATGTCCTCCTCCACACATATATATCAAACATGTCCTCCTCCACACATATATCAAACATGTCCTCCTCCACACATACATCAAACATGTCCTCCTCCACACATATATCAAACATGTCCTCCTACACACATATATGTTCCCCTAACAGCTGCATGTTCCCCTAACTGCTGCATGTTCCCCTAACTGCTGCATGTTCCCCTAACTGCTGCATGTTCCCCTAACTGCTGCATGTTTCCCTAACTGCTGCATGTTCCCCTAACTGCTGCATGTTCCCCTAACTGCTGCATGTTTCCCTAACTGTTGCATGTTTCCCTATCTGCTGCATGTTTCCCTATCTGCTGCATGTTTCACTAACTGCTGCATGTTCCCCTAACTGCTGCATGTTTCCCTATCTGCTGCATGTTTCCCTATCTGCTGCATGTTTCCCTAACTGCTGCATGTTCCCCTAACTGCTGCATGTTCCCCTAACTGCTGCATGTTTCCCTAACTGCTGCATGTTTCCCTAACTGCTGCATGTTCCCCTAACTGCTGCATGTTTCCCTAACTGCTGCATGTTTCCCTAACTGCTGCATGTTCCCCTAACTGCTGCATGTTTCCCTATCTGCTGCATGTTCCCCTAACTGCTGCATGTTCCCCTAACTGCTGCATGTTTCCCTAACTGCTGCATGTTTCCCTAACTGCTGCATGTTCCCCTAACTGCTGCATGTTCCCCTAACTGCTGCATGTTTCCCTAACTGTTGCATGTTTCCCTATCTGCTGCATGTTTCCCTATCTGCTGCATGTTTCCCTAACTGCTGCATGTTCCCCTAACTATTGCATGTTTCCCTATCTGCTGCATGTTTCCCTATCTGCTGCATGTTTCCCTAACTGCTGCATGTTCCCCTAACTGCTGCATGTTCCCCTAACTGCTGCATGTTTCCCTAACTGCTGCATGTTCCCCTAACTGCTGCATGTTTCCCTAACTGCTGCATGTTTCCCTAACTGCTGCATGTTCCCCTAACTGCTGCATGTTTCCCTAACTGCTGCATGTTTCCCTAACTGCTGCATGTTCCCCTAACTGCTGCATGTTTCCCTATCTGCTGCATGTTCCCCTAACTGCTGCATGTTTCCCTATCTGCTGCATGTTCCCCTAACTGCTGCATGTTTCCCTAACTGCTGCATGTTTCCCTATCTGCTGCATGTTCCCCTAACTGCTGCATGTTCCCCTAACTGCTGCATGTTCCCCTAACTGCTGCATGTTCCCCTAACTGCTGCATGTTTCCAAGCTGCTGCACATTCCTCAACTACTGTATGTTCTCTAACTGATGCAAGTTCCTCAACTGCTGCCTTTTCCTCAAGTTCGGAATGTTCCACAGCTATTGCATGTTACATAACTGCTGCATGATCAGCAAATGTTGTATGTTCCTAAAATATTGCATCATACTTAACTGTTGCATGTTCCTTGATGGCTGCAAGAACCTCAACTGTTGCATGTTCCTCAATGGCTGCAAGAACCTCAACTGTTGTATGTTCCTTGATGGCTGCAAGAACCTCAACAGTTGCATGTTCCTTGATGGCTGCAAGAACCTCAACTGTTGCATGTTTCTCGATGGCTGCAAGAACCTCAACTGTTGCATGTTCCTCGATGGCTGCAAGAACCTTAACTGTTGCATGTTCCTTGATGGCTGCAAGAACCTCAACTGTTGCATGTTCCTCAATGGCTGCAAGAACCTTAACTGTTGCATGTTCCTTGATGGCTGCAAGAACCTCAACTGTTGCATGTTCCTCAATGGCTGCAAGAACCTTAACTGTTGCATGTTCCTTGATGGCTGCAAGAACCTCAACTGTTGCATGTTCCTCAATGGCTGCAAGAACCTCAACTGTTACATGTTCTTTGATGGCTGCAAGAACCTCAACTGTTGCATGTTCCTCAATGGCTGCAAGAACCTCAACTGTTGCATGTTCTTTGATGGCTGCAAGAACCTCAACTGTTCATGTTCCTTGATGGCAGCAAGAATCTCAACTGTTGCATGTTCCTTGATGGCTGCAAGAACCTCAACTGTTGTATGTTCCTCAATGGCTGCAAGAACCTCAACTGTTGCATGTTCCTTGATGGCTAAAAGAACCTCAACTGTTGCATGTTTCTTGATGGCTAAAAGAACCTCAACTGTTGCATGTTCCTTGATGGCTAAAAGAACCTCAACTGTTGTATGTTCCTAAACTGTTGCATGTTCCTCAATGGCTGCAAGAACCTCAACTGTTGCATGTTCCTCAATGGCTGCAAGAACCTCAAATGTTGCATGTTCCTCAATGGCTGAAAGAACCTCAACTGTTGTATTTTCCTAAACTGTTGCATGTTCCTCAATGGCTGAAAGAACCTCAAATGTTGCATGTTCCTCAACTGTTGTATGAGAGATACATGCACACACACATAGACAAAGATGTGGAGACAATAAACAGGGATATAACACAAAGACACACAGAGACAGAAACACTCAGTGAGACACGCATGCATGCACACTCAAACACACACAAAATATACACAGACACACACAAAGATATGAAACACACATAGGAAAAAATGTATCACCTTCGAGAAGTTCTGAATCATCTTCAACTTCTGGTAGAGAAGTCGGAAATTGGGAATTGTTCTGCTGGTATGTCAGGTTTACCTGTGAGAGTAAGACAATCATAGTAAATGACACTGTTGGTATGTCAGGTTTACCTGTGAGAGTAAGACAACATATTAAATGACACTGTTGGTATGTCAGGTTTACCTGTGAGAGTAAGACAACATAGTAAATGACACTGTTGGTATGTCAGGTTTACCTGTGAGAGTAAGACAACATAGTAAATGACACTGTTGGTATGTCAGGTTTACCTGTGAGAGTAAGACAACATAGTAAATGACACTGTTGGTATGTAAGGTTAACCTGTGAGAGTAAGACAACATAGTAAATGACACTGTTGGTATGTCAGGTTTACCTGTGAGAGTAAGACAACATATTAAATGACACTGTTGGTATGTCAGGTTTGCCTGTGAGAGTAAGACAACATATTAAATGACACTGTTGGTATGTAAGGTTAACCTGTGAGAGTAAGACAACATAGTAAATGACACTGTTGGTATGTAAGGTTAACCTGTGAGAGTAAGACAACATATTAAATGACACTGTTGGTATGTAAGGTTAACCTGTGAGAGTAAGACAACATATTAAATGACACTGTTGGTATGTAAGGTTAACCTGTGAGAGTAAGACAACATATTAAATGACACTGTTGGTATGTAAGGTTAACCTGTGAGAGTAAGACAACATAGTAAATGACACTGTTGGTATGTAAGGTTAACCTGTGAGAGTAAGACAACATAGTAAATGACACTGTTGGTATGTCAGGTTAACCTGTGAGAGTAAGACAACATATTAAATGACACTGTTGGTATGTCAGGTTTACCTGTGAGAGTAAGACAACATATTAAATGACACTGTTGGTATGTCAGGTTTACCTGTGAGAGTAAGACAACATATTAAATGACACTGTTGGTATGTCAGGTTTACCTGTGAGAGTAAGACAACATATTAAATGACACTGTTGGTATGTCAGGTTTACCTGTGAGAGTAAGACAACATATTAAATGACACTGTTGGTATGTAAGGTTTACCTGTGAGAGTAAGACAACATATTAAATGACACTGTTGGTATGTCAGGTTTACCTGTGAGTGTAAGACAACATATTAAATGACACTGTTGGTATGTCAGGTTTACCTGTGAGAGTAAGACAACATATTAAATGACACTGTTGGTATGTCAGGTTTACCTGTGAGAGTAAGACAACATATTAAATGACACTGTTGGTATGTCAGGTTTACCTGTGAGAGTAAGACAACATATTAAATGACACTGTTGGTATGTCAGGTTTACCTGTGAGTGTAAGACAACATATTAAATGACACTGTTGGTATGTCAGGTTTACCTGTGAGAGTAAGACAACATATTAAATGACACTGTTGGTATGTCAGGTTTGCCCGTGAGAGTAAGACAACATATTAAATGACACTGTTGGTATGTCAGGTTTACCTGTGAGTGTAAGACAACATATTATTGTTATGTCAGGTTTACCTGTGAGTGTAAGACAACATATTAAATGACACTGTTGGTATGTCAGGTTTACCTGTGAGAGTAAGACAAGATATTATTGGTATGTCAGGTTCATTTGTGGTACATTACATACTGTAAACCCCAATGCTGATAAAAGAGACACACATTAGACAAGTCAGATACAAGAGAGATACATTAGACAAGTCAGATACAACAGAGATACATTAGACAAGTCAGATACAAGAGAGATACATTAGACAAGTCAGATACAAGAGAGATACATTAGACAAGTCAGATACATTAGACAAGTCAGATACATTAGACAAGTCAGATACATTAGACAAGTCAGATACATTAGACAAGTCAGATACAACAGAGATACATTAGACAAGTCAGAAACATTAGACAAGTCAGATACAAGAGAGATACATTAGACAAGTCAGATACATTAGACAAGTCAGATACATTAGACAAGTCAGATACATTAGACAAGTCAGATACATTAGACAAGTCAGATACATTAGACAAGTCAGATACAACAGAGATACATTAGACAAGTCAGATACAAGTCAGATACAAGTCAGATACATTAGACAAGTCAGATACAACAGAGATACATTAGACAAGTCAGATACAACAGAGATACATTAGACAAGTCAGATACAAAAGAGATACATTAGACAAGTCAGATACAAGAGAGATACATTAGACAAGTCAGATACAAGAGAGATACATTAGACAAGTCAGATACAAGAGAGATACATTAGACAAGTCAGATACAACAGAGATACATTAGACAAGTCAGATACAAGAGAGATACATTAGACAAGTCAGATACATTAGACAAGTCAGATACAACAGAGATACATTAGACAAGCCAGATACAAAAAAGCACACATTAGACAAGCCAGATACAAAAAAGCACACATTAGACAAGCCAGATACACGAGACATACTTTACCCGATAATCCACAGCTGCAGGAGGAGCATGTGGGTACGGCTGAGAGTATTGGTAATTGTAACCACCCCACGAGTCGTGGCCAGTGTAATAATTGTTGTGTGGAGCAGGTGGGGCCATGGCTACTGGTGCAGCTCCAGACAGAGGATCACTGGGTCTGTGCAGACAAGAAGACCATCATAGATCACAAGGAAACAAAAACAAGGTACAGATCATGTTGTGTGTTACCCACAGACCAGGTACAGTTGTGTGTTACCCACAGACCAGGTACAGTTGTGTGTTACCCACAGACCAGGTACAGTTGTGTGTTACCCACAGACCAGGTACAATTGTGTGATACCCACAGACCAAGTACAGTTGTGTGTTACCCACAGACCAGGTACAGTTGTGTGTTACCCACAGACCAGGTACAATTGTGTGATACCCACAGACCAGGTACAGTTGTGTGTTAATCACAGACCAGGTACAGTTGTGTGTTACCCACAGACCAGGTACAGTTGTGTGTTACCCACAGACCACATACAGTTGTGTGTTACCCACAGACCAGGTACAATTGTGTGTTACCCAAAGACCAGGTACAATTGTGTGTTACCCACAGACCAGGTACAGTTGTGTGTTACCCAAAGACCAGGTACAGTTGTGTGTTACCCACAGACCAGGTATTACACAACAGAGTCACAATATAACAAACAACACAGTCACAATATAACAGACAACAGAGTCCCAGAATATAACAGGCAACACAGTTACAATATAACAGAATTACAGAATATAACAAGCAACAGAGTCACAATATAACAACACAGTCACAATATAACAGACAACAGAGTAACAATATAACAGACAACAGAGTCCCAATAAAAAAGTGTCACAATATAACAGGCAACACAGTCACAATATAACAGGCAACAGAGTCACAATATAACAGGCAACAGAGTCACAATATAATAGACAAAGGTGTCCAATATAACAGATAAGTGAATTAATGAAAATATTTCTCTCAGACGTTTTTTACCTCTTGACCGATGCGAGACTGACTCTGATTGGTCGCCGACCAAGTCCAGTCATGTGTTGCATCTCTATCAGCGCCCTCTGCTGGTCACTCTCTTCTGAGAAACGGACAAAACCAAATCCTCGGCTTTTGCCATTGTGATCTAAAACAACTGAACATTCAGAGAGAAACTATTTCAGAGGCAGGTCACCAAGACATTATCTGACACAATTGCAAACAAACAATCTATGGCTAAAGTGCCAAAGACATCACCCGACCACTGACAGAGACATAATTTGTGACCACTGAATGGAAGACGTTGAAATAACTAGGATAGAATTTATTTTTACAAGAAAGCAATTATCTTCAAATGAAGCAATTGTGTTCAACTTGCATATAAATTATTTTTGAGTGGCACTCACACTATTTAAATTTAAACTGCACAGAAATGATCTTATACTGGCCAAGAAATTATCTTAAACGCATAGAAATTATCATAAATTTTGCTAAGAAATAATCTTCAATTGACCAAGAAATAATTTGAAATGATCTTAAACTGGCCAGGAAATTATCTTAAACTGGCCAAAAAATATTCTTAAAATGGCCAAGAAATTATCTATGACTGGCCAAGAAATGAGCTTAAACTGGCCAAGAAATAAGCTTAAACTGGCCAAGAAAAAAAGCTTAAACTGGCCAAGAAATGAGATTAAACTGGCCAAGAAATGAGATTAAACTGGCCAAGAAATGAGATTAAAATGGCAAAGAAATGATCTTAAACTGGCCAAGAAATAAGCTCAAACTGGCCAAGAAATAAGCTTAAACTGGCCAAGAAATAAGCTTAAACACCAAGAAATAAGCTCAAAATGGCCAAGAAATGATCTTTAACTGGCCGAGAAATAGCTTAAAATGGCCAAGAAATGATCTTAAACTGACACAGCAGTTCTCTAACATTAAATGACCAAAAATCTCAAATAATAAACACAAGTAAACAATCAGCTGAAACTGCAACAACAAAAAATGAACTAACAAGACTGAGGCAGGGAAGCTAATGACATCTAACTGGATCAGTAGATACTGTTTGACAAACAGAAACCTGGAGGCCAGCAAATGTCAGAAAGCACTTCATGATTGACACAGATGTTGGGACAACAGACTGGTGTAGCACAGCTCTCCTGTTTGTCGTGGACTAACATCTCTGTAGTGTTTCTATATGATGTGTCTCTGTTCACCATGGATCCATGTATCTTGTCTACTGTCTCTGTAGTTTAATGTCTCTTTCAAGTCTCCTCTTTAGTTACTGTCTTTGAGGCTCAATGTGACTGTTTACTCTCCTGTTAAGTCTCGTAGACTCAAGAATGAAGATTCTCGTCTTTGAGGGTCTATATTTCTAGTCCCTCCTCTTTCAAGTCTCGATGGCTGAAGACTGAAGATTCTTCCTAACATATAAGGGTCCATGTTAATAGTCCCTCCTCTTCAAAGTTTCAGCGACTGAAGATTATTTAAGTGGGTTTTTTCCCAATGTTTATACTAAGATGCTGGAATGCGCGGTATGTGTTTTTCTACTCACTATTGCTGCTAGACTTTTCTAGTATGGCTTAACATGTTTACTATGTGCGTTCTCAGATGGGATTTTATAATTGCGTCTTGATGCACTAGATAGCGCTGCTTCTAAATATACTCATTTGTTTGGCCACTGGTCTTCTGTGGATTTTTAGAAAGAGTACATTGCTTTCTCTTTGTTTGGGCACATTTTAAAACATTATCTTAGATACTATTTATTCATTTGTAAAAATCTTTCTGCACGTGATTGTTCTAGAAAGTGAATGTCAAGATTGCTAAGGCCTGTTGATTTCGGTCCTTTCAACTAATACACAATATCCTACCTCCTAAAAAAAACAAATAATGCTGTGGCCCTATTACACCGGCCTGACACAGCTGCTGATGTGTACATAAGCATGCGCACGTGTCTTAGTGTGTGCATGTGTATTAGTTTGTACATGTGTATTATTGTGTGTGTGTGCGTGTATATTAGCTTGTGCATGTGACTTAGCGTGTGCATGTGTATTAGCATGTGCATGTATATTAGTGTGTGCATGTGTATTAGCATGTGCATGTGTATTAGCATGTGCATGTGTATTAGCATGTGCATGTGTATTAGCATGTGCATGTGTATTAGCATGTGCATGTGTATTAGCATGTGCATGTGTATTAGCATGTGCATGTGTATTAGCATGTGCATGTATATTAGCATGTGCATGTATATTAGCATGTGCATGTGTATTAGCATGTGCATGTATATTAGCATGTGCATGTATATTAGCTTGTGCATGTATATTAGCTTGTGCATGTATATTAGCATGTGCATGTATATTAGCTTGTGCATGTATATTAGCATGTGCATGTGTATTAGCATGTGCGTGTATATTAGTGTGTGCGTGTATATTAGCTTGTGCATGTATATTAGCATGTGCATGTATATTAGCATGTGCATGTATATTAGCTTGTGCATGTACCCACAGACCAGTATACAGTGTGTGCATGTGTATTAGTGTGTGCATGTATATGAGCATGTACAGTTATTAGTGTGTGCATGTATATTAGCCAGGTACAGTTGTGTGTATGTATATTTACCAGGTGCATGTGTATTAGTGTGTGTACCCACAGACCAGGTATTAGTTGTGTGTAACCCACAGTGCATGTGTATTAGTGTGTGTATGTATATTAGTGTGTGCATGTGTATTAGTGTGTGTATGTATATTAGCTTGTGCATGTGTATTAGTGTGTGCATGTATATTAGTGTGTGCATGTGTATAACAGTGTAGTATATTAGTGTGTGCATGTGTATTAGTGTGTGTATGTATATTAGTGTGTGCATGTATATTAGCTTGTGCATGTGTATTAGTGTGTGTATGTATATTAGTGTGTGCATGTGTATTAGTGTGTGTATGTATATTAGTGTGTGCATGTGTATTAGTGTGTGTATGTATATTAGTGTGTGTATGTATATTAGTGTGTGTATGTGTATTAGTGTGTGTATGTATATTAGTGTGTGTATGTATATTAGTGTGTGCATGTGTATTAGTGTGTGTATGTATATTAGTGTGTGCATGTGTATTAGTGTGTGTATGTATATTAGTGTGTGTATGTATATTAGTGTGTGTATGTATATTACAGTATAATATTAGTGTGTGCATGTGTATTAGTGTGTGTATGTATATTAGTGTGTGCATGTGTATTAGTGTGTGTATGTATATTAGTGTGTGTATGTATATTAGTGTGTGCATGTGTATTAGTGTGTGTATGTATATTAGTGTGTGCATGTATATTAGTGTGTGTATGTATATTAGTGTGTGTATGTATATTAGTGTGTGCATGTGTATTAGCATGTGCGTGTGTATTAGCATGTGCATGTGTATTAGTGTGTGTATGTATATTAGTGTGTGCATGTGTATTAGTGTGTGTATGTATATTAGTGTGTGTATGTATATTAGTGTGTGCATGTGTATTAGTGTGTGTATGTATATTAGTGTGTGCATGTGTATTAGTGTGTGTATGTATATTAGTGTGTGTATGTATAGTATGTGTGTGCATCTCTTGTATTAGTGTGTGTATGTATATTAGTGTGTGCATGTATATTAGTGTTGTGTATGAATTACGGTGTAAAAACCATTAGTGTGTGTATTTATATTATGTGTGCATGTGTATTAGCAACTGCGTGTGTATTAGATGTGCATGTGTTCAGATTAGTGTGTGTATGTAGTGTGTGCATGTGTTTAGTAGTGTGTGTATTATATTAGTGTGTGTATGTGTATTAGTGTGTGTATGTATATTAGTGTGTGTATGTATAAAGTGTGTGCATGTGTATTAGCCGACCACTATTAGATGTGCATGTGTATTAGTGTGTGTATGTATATTAGTGTGTGCATGTGTATTAACTATGTGCGTAGTATTTAGCATGTGCATGTGTATTAGTGTGTGTATGTATATTAGTGTGTGCATGTGTATTAGCATGTGCGTGTGTATTAGCATGTGCATGTGTATTAGTGTGTGTATGTATATTAGTGTGTGCATGTGTATTAGCATGTGCGTGTGTATTAGCATGTGCATGTGTATTAGTGTGTGTATGTATATTAGTGTGTGCATGTGTATTAGTTGTGTGTACTATATTAGCATGTGAATGTTATCTTATGTGCTAATGTAATTAGTGTTCAATGTGTATTAGTGTGATGTAGTTTAAAATGTGTATGTAATTAGTGCCAAGAAATGTGTCTTAGCATGTGCGTGTGTATTAGCAAGTGCATGTGTATTAGTGTGTGATGTATATTAGTGTGTGCATGTGTATTAGCATGATGCTTGTGTATTAGGCATGTGCATGTGTATTAGTGTGTGTATGTATATTAGTGTGTGCCAATGTAATAGCATGTGCGTGTGTATTAGCATGTGCATGAAATGTGTGTAAACTGGCCAAGAAAGCTTAGCTGTGCATGTGTATTAGAAATGATCTATATTACTGGTGCAAGTAAATTAGTGTGTGTATGTATATTAGTGTGTGTATGTATATTAGTGTGTGTATGTGTATTAACATGTGCCAATATTAATGTGCATTGTAAAAGTGTGTATGTAGATTAGTGTATGTGTATTAACTGTGTGTAGTATATTAGTGTGTGTATGTGTATTAAGTGTGTATGTATAAAGTGGTGTGCATGATAATAGTGTGTGTATGTATATTAGTGAAATATGTATATTAGTGGTGTGCATTGTGTATTAGTGGTGTGTATGTATATTAGTGTGTGCATGTATATTATAAGCTATGTAAATTAGTGTGTGTAGAATATTAGATCTGTAACTGGCCGATTAAATGTGCGTGTTAAGCATGTGCATGTGTATTAGTGTGTGTATGTAATTAGGTGATCATGTAAATTAGTGACACAGCAGTATTAGTGTGTGTATGTATATTAAATCTCAAATAATAGTGTGTGCATGTATATTAATCAGCTGTAATTGTGTGTTTAATGTAAAGTGAACTATATTTAGTGTGAGGCAGGTGTAAAAGCTAATGACATTAGCATGTGCAGTAGTGTGTGCTGTATTTAGCTTGTGCATGAAAGTAAACATGTGCAGGTATAGCAAATGTCGTGTAAAGCACTTCATGATTGACACAGTGTGTTGTATATTAGGGACAACAGACTGCGTGTGCACAGCATCTCCTGTTTGTCGTGGACTCTATGTGTACATCTCTGTAAGTGTTTCTATGTATGATTGTGTGCTCTGTTCACCATGGATCCATGTTAGTCTTGTCTACTGTCTCTGTATGTATAATGTCTCTTTCATGTCTCCTCTTTAGTTACTGTCTTTGAGGCTCAATGTGACTGTTCCTCTCCTGTTAAGTCTCGTAGACTCAAGAATGAAGATTCTCGTCTTTGAGGGTCTATATTTATAGTCCCTCCTCTTTCAAAGTGCTCGATGGCTGAAGACTGAAGATTCTTCCTAACATATAAGGGTCCATGTTATTAGTCCCTCCTCTTCAAAAGTTCAGCGACTGAAGATTATCTAAGTGGGTTCTTTTCCCAATGTTTATTGTGTGCTGAGATGCGCGGTATGTGTTTTTCTACTCACTATTGCTGCTAGACATTTCTAGTATGGCTTAACATGTTTACTATGTGCGTTCTCAGATAGGATTTTATAATTGCGTCTTGATGCACTAGATAGCGCTGCTTCTAAATATAGTCATTTGTTTGACATTTAAAAACGTTATCTTAGATACTATTTATTCACTTGTAAAAATCTTTCTGCATGTGATTGTTCTAGAAAGTGAATGTAAGATTGCTAAGGCCTGTTGATTTTGGTCCTTTCAACTAATACACAATATCCTAACTCCTTAAAAAACAAAAATAATGTCGTGGCCCTGTTACACTGGCCTGACACAGTTGCTGATGTGTACATAAGCATGCGCACGTGTCTGAGTGTGTGCACGTGTCTTAGTGTGTGCACGTGTCTTAGTGTGTGCACGTGTCTTAGTGTGTGCACGTGTCTTAGTGTGTGCATGTGTATTAGTATGTGCATGTCTATTAGCAAGTCTAAAAATGAGTTTGTGCAGGGATGTGACTTAGGAAAAGTGGAATGTGAGGGAGACAAATATAGCGAGGGAATGTGATACAGAGATGGGCAGATGACTTAGGAAAAAGGTGAAACAGAGATATGGAATTAGCGTGTGACAAAGAGTGAAAGAAGGGAGCGTGAGCATGTGAACTTAGGGCCTAGAGCAGTGCATGTGAATTAGACATGTGGAAGAGTAGACAAGGGACAGCACAGTGAGGCCATGCAGACATTAGCCAAAGTGAAAAAGGCAGAGCAGGAGAAATGGGCAGGGAGGTATACAAAGAGGAAGTGATGAAGTGTTAGAAACAGACATAAAGAGTAGAGATGAGAGGTGGGTAAGGAAAGGCAGACAAACTTGTATTAAGAGAGAGGGCAGAAAGCAAGACAAGATACATTAAAGAAAAAAACAGCCACCTACTCCCTCCCCCCCCCCCCCCCCCCACAATTTCAAATTCAAGTGTGTGGACACAACCACTAGGAAACAGATAGTTATCGTGCAAAGAATACGTGTAATGAACCAGTAACAAAAATGGGGGGGGGGGGGAAGAGAGATGGGAGCGGGTAATGAAATGTGAGAAAATGAGAAGACAGGATGGAGAGGAGACAAAGAAGAGATGGTACAGGATGTGTACATGAAAGGAAGAGAGGAAGAATGGAGAGACCAGAATAGTCGAAGATCCTGTACTGAGAAGTGTAGATGAGACACAGACACGGTTGTGGGGGTGGGGGTGTGGGGGTAAGAACAATGAGTGCACATAGAATTAGGACACACACCTCTTTTCCGGTTCTACTCTCCAATGTGAATGTGGCCGTGAGACAAAACACAGTGCTAACCCCTACTGCCCCTTGCTTCCTATCTGTTGTACAACATATAATTCACACACTTACCTGGTTCCTGAGAGCCAAGGTTCATTTTATGAACACATGAAAAAAAACCAGGGATCCCAACCCACCACTGTGGAAAATAGAGAAGTGTCCCACACACATATGAGACACATACACCTCTCTTCCAGCTGTGGACTTCGTATTATTTCTGGTTTTGAATTACACTCAAGACTCTCCCTGAGAGTCTATGTGGACATGAGACATACACACCTGTCTAAGGGTGAGACAGAGTATGAGAGAATAAAGAGAAAATAACACCCTGTCTCAGGAGAGAACCGGAGTATGTAATACATTAAGACATAAGGGACACCTAGCAAAGAAGGGGGCCCCGCCTCCCCTAGGGTGTCATATGTGGGAGACATACACACCTGTCTCAAATGTTTTTTTACCATATGTATTTAATCATGTGGGGAGGGTGGACATACACACCTGTCTGCACTAGGCCAAACCATATGTACACCAACTGAGGTATGGATACACAGAGAGAGTCTCCCTTTAGAGATATGTAAGAGACGAGAGATACACACCTGTCTCCCTTTACCATATGGCAAATACAAAGAGACATACACAGACAGTCTGAGGAACAGGTTACCATATGTAGGGGGCGGGAAGAGAGATGGACAGACACCGCTAGGAAAACAAACACATCAAAAGAAATATCCCACATGTTCACACAGAATGCCCCTCCCTCCCCCAATACAACTATGTGTACTTGAGTTGCTAGGAAGATGGACCGCACATGTACTAAACATTTAAACAAGAAATAAAATAGGAAACAAGGGGGAGGGGGAGGGGGGTGACAGGAAATGAGACAACAGTGTGATAGAGAGCAAAAGAGAAAAACAATCAGAAGGGATATTAGAGACAATGCAGGAACAAGGGGCAGGCTGAAAAGGGAGGGAAGAAGACAAACAACAGTCCTGATATCTCAAGACAATACTGACAGTCTGATATAAGATCAAGACAAAAAACAGAACTGGGAAATCCAGCTGGCAGTCACTTTGCTTAGCCCCAATGACTCTAATTAATAGAGAAGGGCCGTGCTTAGCACAAACACAACAATTTTGCGACTCTATAAATCAACTGAACAAAGCCCCACAGTCTGATAATCCTTTCAAGACAAACAACATTCTGATATCTCAAGACAAACACAGTCTGATACGAACGGACAAACCCGCAGTCTGACGCTGCTATCTCATGATTCAAATCTGCAACAATTTTGATATCTCCCCACATAACTTACAGTCTGATATTCGGCTGACAAACCAATAGTCAGCTGCCCTGATATCTCAAACGACCATACAACAGTCTGATATCTCAAGACAAAAAGCAACAGGCTGAAATCTCAATACACAGGATTTCTCATATCTCAAGACAAACAACAGTTTGATAATCTTAAGACTAAACAATAAAGTCCTTGATATCTCAACGAACAAAACAAAGTTTTCCCGATCATCTCAATATATTAGGCGTGTCTGTGTATCTCAATGTGTATTAGCAAACATGTGTAAGTGTCTGATATCTCAATAAACAGTTCCCCTCTGAACTTGTATCGTTTCTGGAAGAAAGCAAACAGCTCGTAGTCGTCGACGTTCCATGACAGCTCACCCACAAACAAGGAAAACTCGGGCCTGCAGTCGTGGGCAAGAATGTGGCAGAGGTTTAGCAATAATGCCACAACAAACATGTGTTACATATATACATGTTCTATTTGTACTCTATGTGTAAATGAGAGATAGACACCTGTTTCTCTGTACTTTATGTGTACATGAGACACACACCCCTCTTCCTGTACTGAATGTGTACATGTGACACACACATCTGTCTCCCTCTACTCATGTGTATACGAGACATACACACCTGTCTCACTGTGTTGTATGTGCACATAAGACACACACCTCTTTTCCTGTACTGAATGTTTTTATGAGACACATACACCTGTCTCCCTCTACTCATGTGTTTTGTATGTGCATATGAGACACACACCTCTCTTCCCGTACTCTATGCGGGCATGAAACAAAACACCTCCCTCTATTCATGTGTACATGAGACATACACACCTGTCTCCCTGTGTTGTATGTGTACATGAGAAACTCACATCTCTCTCCCTGTAGTCTATGCGGACATGAGATAAAACACCTCTCTTCCTCTGCTGTATGTATATGTGAGACATACACACCTGTCTCATTTTACCGTATGTATACATGAGACATACACACCTGTCTCCATTTACGAAATGTATACATGAGACATACACAACTGTCTCCATTTACGAAATGTATACATGAGACATACACAAATGTCTCCCTTTACCATATGTAAACATTAGACATACACACCTGTCTCCCTTTACCATATGTATACATGAGACATACACACCTGTCTCCCTTTACCATATGTATACATGAGACATACACACCTGTCTCCCTTTACCATATGTATACATGAGACATACACACCTGTCTCCCTTTACCATATGTATACATGAGACATACACACCTGTCTCCCTTTACCATATGTATACATGAGACATACACACCTCTCTCGATATACTGTATGTGTATGTGACACACACACACACCTGATGTTTCAAGACAAACAACAGGCTGATATCTCAAGACAAACAACAGTCTGATATCTCAAGACAAACAACAGTCTGATATCTCAAGACAAACAACAGTCTGATATCTCAAGACAAACAACAGTCTGATATCTCTGATATCAACAGTCTGATATCGAAGGACAAACAACAGTCTGATATCTCAAGACAAACAACAGTGATCTGATATCTCAAGACAAACAACAGTCTGATATCAAGACAAAACAACAACATATCAAGACATATCTCAAGATATCTCAAACAACAGTCTGATATCTCAAACACTAGGCAAACAAACAGTTTGATCTGATAAACTCAAGACAAACAACAGTCTGATATCTCAAGACAAACAACAGTCTGATATCTCAAGACAAACAACAGTCTGATATCTCAAGACAAACAAACAGTCTGATATCTCAATACAAACAACAGTCTGATATCTCAAGACAAACAACAGTCTGATATCTCAAGACAAACAACAGTCTGATATCTCAATACACAGTCTCATATCTCAAGACAAACAACAGGCTGATATCTCAAGACAAACAACAGTCTGATATCTCAAGACAAACAACAGTCTGCTATCTCAAGACAAACAACAGTCTGATATCTCAATATACAGTTCCAATATCTCAAGACAAACAACAGTCTGCTATCTCAATATACAGTTCCAATATCTCAAGACAAACAACAGTCTGCTATCTCAATACACAGTCTAATATCTCAAGACAAACAACAGTCTGATATCTCAATACACAGTTCCAATATCTCAAGACAAACAACAGTCTGATATCTCAAGACAAACAACAGTCTGATATCTCAAGACAAACAACAGTCTGATATCTCAAGACAAACAACAGTCTGATATCTCAAGACAAACAACAGTCTGATATCTCAAACAAACAACAGTCTGATATCTCAAGACAAACAACAGTCTGATATCTCAAGACAAACAATAGTCTGACATCTCAAGACAAACAACAGTCTGATATCTCAAGACAAACAACAGTCTGATATCTCAAGACAAACAACAGTCTGATATCTCAAGACAAACAACAGACTGATATCTCAAGACAAACAACAGTCTGATATCTAAGGACAAACAACAGTCTGATATCTCAAGACAAAAAACAGTCTGATATCTCAAGAAATCAAGTCTGATATCTCAAGAGAACAAATCTCATATCTCAAACAACAAACAAACAACAGTCTGATATCTCAAGACAAACAACAGTCTGATATCTCAAGACAAACAACAGTCTGATATCTCAAGACAAACAACAGCCCGATATCTCAAGACAAACAACAGCCCGATATCTCAAGACAAACAACAATCTGATATCTCAAGACAAACAACTGTCTGATATCTCAAACAATCAACAGTCTGATATCTCAAGACAAACAAATCTCAAGACTCAAACAAACAACAGTCTGATATCTCAATATACAGTTCCAATATCTCAAAACAAACAACAGTCTGATATCTCAAGACAAACAACAGTCAGTCCAATAAACTCAAGACAAACAAAAAACAGTCTGATATCTCAAGACAAACAACAGGCTGATATCTCAAGACAAAACAACAGTCTGATATCTCAAGACAAACAACAGTCTGATATCTCAATACACAACAAAAACAGTCTGATATCTCAAGACAAACAACAGTCTGATATCTCAAGACAAACAACAAGTCTGAATCTCAAGACAAACACAGTCTGATATCTCAAGACAAACAACAGTCTGATAGACTCAAGACAATACAACAGGCTGAAATCTCAAGGCAAACAACAGGGCTATTTTTTTCAGTCGGCTGAGACAATATCATAAATGACAGTTCCATATCTCAAGACAAACAACAGTCTGAATTCTCAAGACAACCAAGACAAACAACAGTCTGATATCTATACAAACAAAACATGATATCTCAGCACAAAAGAATGTTCTGAAACAAACTTCTACTGATATCAAATGACAAGGAATGAAACAACAAGACAAAGAATGGTCTATAAGTAAACATCATGACAAACAAGAATGGTCTATACTGAACATCATGACAAACAAGAATGGTCTGACATACTGAACATCATGACAGCAAGAATGGTCTATACTGAACATCATGACAGCAAGAATGGTCTATACTGAATCATCATGACATAACAAGAATGGCTCTATACTGAAACATCATGACAGCAAGAATGGTGGTCTGATATCATGAAGCATCATGACATGACAAAGAATGGTATACTATACATCATGACACAATGGTCTATACTGACATCATGACAAGAAATGGTCTATAATGAACATCATGACAGCAAGAATGGTCTATACTGAACATCATGACAGCAAGAATGGCTATACTGTCTATACAAGAATGTTCTATCTGATGACAACAAGAATGGTCTATACTGACATCATGACAGCAAGAATGGTCTATACTGAACATCATGACAGCAAGAATGGTCTATACTGAACATCATGACAGCAAGAATGGTCTATACTGAACATCATGACAGCAAGAATGGTCTATACTGAACATCATGACAACAAGAATGGTCTATACTGAACATCATGACAGCAAGAATGGTCTATACTGAACATCATGACAACAAGAATGGTCTATACTGAACATCATGACAACAAGAATGGTCTATACTGAACATCATGACAACAAGAATGGTCTATACTGAACATCATGACAGCAAGAATGGTCTATACTGAACATCATGACATCATGACAAAGAATGGTCTATACTGAACATCATGACAGCAAGAATGGTCTATACTGAACATCATGACAACATAGAATGGTGTCTATACTGAACATCATGACAGCAAGAATGAAAGAATGGTCTATACTGAACATCATGACAGCAAGAATGGTCTATACTGAACATCATGACAACAAGAATGGTCTATACTGAACATCATGACAGCAAGAATGGTCTATACTGAACATCATGACAACAAGAATGGTCATAGAATGGCAAGAATGGTCTATACTGAACATCATGACAACAAGAATGGTCTATACTGAACATCATGACAACAAGAATGGTCTATACTGAACATCATGACAACAAGAATGGTCTATACTGAACATCATGACAGCAAGAATGGTCTATACTGAACATCATGACAGCAAGAATGGTCTATACTGAACATGATACAACTCATGACAACAAGAATGGTCTATACTGAACATCATGACAGCAAGAATGGTCTATACTGAACATCATGACAACAAGAATGGTCTATACTGATCAGCATGACAGCAAGAATGGCCTACACTGATCATGACAGCAAGAATGGGTCTATACTGAACATCATGACAGCAAGAATGGCTATACTGAACATCATGACAGCAAGAATGGTCTATACTGAACATCATGACAGCAAGAATGGTCTATACTGAACATCATGACAGCAAGAATGGTCTATACTGAACATCATGACAACAAGAATGGTCTATACTGAACATCATGACAACAAGAATGGTCTATACTGAACATCATGACAACAAGAATGGTCTATACTGAACATCATGACAGCAAGAATGGCCTATACTGAACATCATGACAGCAAGAATGGTCCTATACTGAACATCATGACAGCAAGACAACAAAGAATGGCCTATACTGAACATCATGACAACAAGAATGGTCTATACTGAACATCATGACAGCAAGAATGGTCTATACTGAACATCAGGACAACAAGAATGGTCTATACTGAACATCATGACAACAAGAATGGTCTATACTGAACATCATGACAACAAGAATGGTCTATACTGAACATCATGACAACAAGAATGGTCTATACTGAACATCATGACAGCAAGAATGGTCTATACTGAACATCATGACAGCAAGAATGGCCTATACTGAACATCATGACAGCAAGAATGGCCTATACTGAACATCATGACAACAAGAATGGCCTATACTGAACATCATGACAACAAGAATGGTCTATACTGAACATCATGACAACAAGAATGGTCTATACTGAACATCATGACAACAAGAATGGTCTATACTGAACATCATGACAGCAAGAATGGTCTATACTGAACATCATGACAACAAGAATGGTCTATACTGAACATCATGACAACAAGAATGGTCTATACTGAACATCATGACAGCAAGAATGGCCTATACTGAACATCATGACAACAAGAATGGCCTATACTGAACATCATGACAACAAGAATGGTCTATACTGAACATCATGACAGCAAGAATGGCCTATACTGAACATCATGACAGCAAGAATGGTCTATACTGAACATCATGACAGCAAGAATGGTCTATACTGAACATCATGACAACAAGAATGGTCTATACTGAACATCATGACAACAAGAATGGTCTATACTGAACATCATGACAACAAGAATGGTCTATACTGAACATCATGACAACAAGAATGGTCTATACTAAACATCATGACAGCAAGAATGGTCTATACTGAACATCATGACAACAAGAATGGTCTATACTGAAACATCATGACAACAAGAATGGTCTATACTGAACATCATGACAACAAGAATACTGAACATCATGACAACAAGAATGGTCTATACTGAACATCATGACAACAAGAATGGTCTATACTGAACATCATGACAACAAGAATGGTCTATACTGAACATCATGACAACAAGAATGGTCTATACTGAACATCATGACAACAAGAATGGTCTATACTGAACATCATGACAACAAGAATGGTCTATACTGAACATCATGACAACAAGAATGGTCTATACTGAACATCATGACAACAAGAATGGTCTATACTGAACATCATGACAACAAGAATGGTCTATACTGAACATCATAACAACAAGAATGGTCTATACTAAACATCATGACAACAAGAATGGTCTATACTGATCATCATGACAACAAAAATGGTCTATACTGAACATCATCACAACAAGAATGGTCTATACTGAACATCATGACAACAAGAATGGCCTATACTGAACATCATGACAACAGGAATGGCCTATACTGAACATCATGACAGCAAGAATGGTCTATACCAGTGGTTTCCAAAAATTTTAGGTTGTCCCCCCCCCCCCCCCCTCCCTCTTGAGTACATGGCAAGTCTCCAATTCCCCCCCCCCTTTCCCAATCTTCTAAACATAACAAAATGTGATTAAAATGAGGAGGACAATAGATTGTGCAACAAGGAAACAGAAAGTATGGAGATATGATTTGGTCACAATGTATTCTTAATCTACAATCAAATGTGCATGTTATCAAATTAATCAGACTTGTAATGGTAGATGTGTGTGAAATCACGGGGGACTGTGAAGAATTAATGAAGCCAATGCTTTGTGAAGCACAGGCACACAATGGGTAAACAGGTGGGTTGACAGCTTGGGGATGTAAACATCTGAGGCCACTGGAAGACAGTGGCTCTTGAGCCACTGGGGGGAAATCATGAGTCATTTGAAGTTTAAGACGAACTTAAGGACACATGGATATTGCTGGTCGACATGACGAGGGGGTTGTAAACACTGAGTGTTGGCGAGAAAGCTGGACCCACACGTAACTGTCTGTGGGTGTGAAAAGTCCTGATGTAGTTTGAATTATTCAGCTACTTTCAGTTCGTCTAGCTGAGTAGATGCATGTACGCATTTCCTTCAAGTCTTCTGCACGTATGGACTTGGTGTCACCATTTTGTAACAATGTGATTTAATCTGTGAATTCTTGCGGATTGTTAGATGATTGTGGTGGATCACAAGGGGTTCTGTCCGGGCGGTTTCTGGAATGTCATGTGGCCAAAATGTGTTGGAGTTGACACGATGACAGCTATGTGACGATTAACAGTGTCCCTGGGTGCACAGAGGGTGCTAGGAAACTTTGTGTATGTTGACCAATGTGGGAATGTGATGGGGAAGCATCAGAGGCTGACTGATGGGATGTTAGTCTGTGATGCTTCAATGAGTGGCTGGGATAGCAGACATGAGGTCTGGAGTTTTCACCAAGAGGTGCATCTATCTTCAGTCCTAAGGGTAGTGGGGTCGTTTAGAGGTTGAACCACCAGGGGCATTGTCCCTGCACATCACTTAGGAGCATCTGTGCGATCGGTTGGGAGTCGTCCATAGGGGACATAGTTCACTGGGGTGTCCAGAGAGACAGCTGATGTGAGTTTGTGGAAAGCAGTAGGAGACTTGACAATGAGCCATCGATCAACACTCATCTTCATTATTGTGTTAGTCCATAATAAAGAGACTGACAGCACTACAGGAGCGTGCTTGGCCTGGTGTCATAAATGACAGTACTTGTAGACAGGTGGTTACTTGAGGACATGTTGGTGTATTACATGTGCCAGGCTTAAAGTGGTGCCGTTGTTTGAGTTGGCTATCTTTTACTTGTTAAAATCACCCCCTGGTCAGCGTGCGGTACATCCCACGATCGCACACATCAGTTGGATAAACTGATCATGAAAACAAAATAAACTTGTCTTTTTGTTTAATAAACAGTTTTTTTTAAATATATTTAAGATTTCAAATTAAACTAAAACAAAATGTAAGGATAACGAATTAATTTAAGTGCAGTTGCACATCACATTACAAACTGTTGAATTAGGAATCAACATCACAGCACTCGGGAACTTCGATAAGCTCCATCCCCATCTTTAGCAGCAAGTGAAGAGTACCAATTCCAATGGCACCAGTAACTGTCTTCATTACAAAACAGTAAATTACAGTACACTATAGAACAGTATATTACAGTACAATATAGAACAGTATATTACAGTACAATATAGAACACCAAATTACAGTACACTATAGAACAGTATATTACAGTACAATATAGAACAGTATATTACAGTACAATATAGAACACCAAATTACAGTACACTATAGAACAGTATATTACAGTACAATATAGAACACCAAATTACAGTAGAATATAGAACAGTATATTACAGTACAATATAGAACACCAAATTACAGTAGAATATAGAACAGTATATTACAGTACAATATAGAACACCAAATTACAGTGGAATATAGAACAGTACAATACAGTAGAATATAGAATAGTACATGACAGTAGAATATAGAACAGTACATTACCATAGAATATAGAATAGAACATTACAGTAGAATACAGAACAGTACAAGACAGAAGAATGCATAACAGTACATTACAGTACAATACCCAACAGTAAATTACAGTACAATACCCAACAGTAAATTATGGTACAATACACAACAGCACATTCCAATACAATATACAATAGTTGATTACTGTACAGTATACAACAGCACATTCCAATACAATATACAATAGTTGATTACAGTACAGTATACAACAGCACATTCCAATACAATATACAATAGTTGATTACAGTACAGTATACAACAGTACGTTCCAATACAATATACAATAGTTGATTAAAGTACAGTATACCACAGCAGAGTTCAAGAAGCTCAACAAGATCTTACCCCTGGTTTTCCCGGAATGTGTTTTCCATTGAGCCTCTGCAGCACTCTCTGGGCAGAGTCCACGTCAGGAAATTCCACAAAGCAGTAATTCCCTGGGCTCAGTCTGTAGAGGCCAATCACTGTCATTAGCTGCCACACACACACACCTCATAGTAGAATATCCTATTCAACAGGTACCCATATACACACCTCTCATAGTAGACTATTCTCATCTACAGACACACATACTCACAAATACCTCTCATAGTAAAATATCCTCTTTTACAGACATTCATACACACACCTTTTATAGTAGGCTATCCTCTTTTACAGACACTCATACACACACCTCTCATAGTAGACTATCCTCTTTTACAGGACACTCATACACACACCTCTCATAGTAGACTATCCTCTTCTACAGACACCCATACATACACATACCTCTAATAGTAGACTATCCTCTTCTACAGATACCCACACACAAACATAACTCCCACAGTAGACTATCCTCTTCTACAGACACCCATACACAAACATAACTCTCATAGTAGGCTATCCTCTTCTACAGACACCCATACATACACATACCTCTAATAGTAGACTATCCTCTTCTACAGACACCCACACACAAACATAACTCCCACAGTAGACTATCCTCTTCTACAGACACCCATACACAAACATAACTCTCATAGTAGGCTATCCTCTTCTACAGACATTCACACACAAAGATAACTCCCACATTATACTATCCTTTTCTACAGACACCCACACACAAACGTAACTCCCACAGTATACTATCATCTGCTACAAACACACAACTATCACAGCAGACTATCCTCTCTACAGACACAATATCTCTCAACTTGCAAACATAGACTGAACTACCTTGTACTTACACACAGACAAAACTACCTGGTACTTACATACATAGACTGAACTACCTTGTACTTACATACATAGACTGAACTACCTGGTACTTACACACAGACAGAACTACTTCATACTTACTCACACAACTGAACAAAGGCATACTTACACACTGACTGAATTATTTTGTACTCACACAAAGAGTAAACTATCCTGTACTCACACAAAGAGTAAAATATATTGTACTCACACAAAGAGTTAACTATATTTTACTCACACAAAGAGTGAACTATCTTGTACTCACACAAAGAGTAAAATATATTGTACTCACATAAAGATGTACACACACAAAGAGTAAACTATCCTGTACTCACACAAAGAATTAAAATATATTGTACTCACATAAAGATGTACACACACAAAGAGTGAACTATATTGTACTCAAACAAAGAGTAAACTATATGGTACTCACACAAGGAGTAAAATATATTGTACTCACATAAAGATGTACTCACACAAAGAGTGGACTATATTGTACTCACACAAAGAGTGAACTATCTTGTACTCACACAAGGAGTAAAAAATATTGTACTCACATAAATATGTACTCATACAAAGAGTAAAATATATTGTACTTACATAAAGATGTACTCACACAAAGAGTAAAATATATTGTACTCACATAAAGATGTACTCACACAAAGAGTGAACTATCTTATACTCACACAAAGAGTAAAATATATTGTACTCACATAAAGAGTAAACTATCCTGTACTCACACAAAGAGTAAAATATATTGTACTCACATAAAGATGTACTCACACAAAGAGTGAACTATACTGTACTCACACAAAGAGTGAACTATCTTGTACTCACACAAGGAGTAAAATATATTGCACTCACATAAAGATGTACTCATACAAAGAGTAAAATATACTGTACTTACATAAAGATGTACTCACACAAAGAGTAAAATATATTGTACTCACATAAAGATGTACTCACACAAAGAGTGAACTATCTTATACTCACACAAAGAGTAAAATATATTGTACTCACATAAAGATGTACTCACACAAAGAGTGAACTATCTTATACTCACACAAAGAGTAAAATATATTGTACTCACATAAAGAGTAAACTATCCTGTACTCACACAAAGAGTAAAATATATTATACTCACACAAAGATGTACTCATATAAAGAGTGAACAATCTTTTACTCACACAAAGATGTACTCAGACAAAGAGTGAACTAACTATCTTGTACTCAAAGAGTGAACTATCTTGTACTCACACAAAGAGTGAACAATCTTGTACTCACACAAAGATTGAAATATCTTGTACTCACACAAAGATGTACTCACACAAAGAGTGAACAATCTTGTACTCACACAAAGATGTACTCACAAAAAGTTAACTATCTTGTACTAACACAAAGATGTACTCACACAAACCGTGAACTATTTTGTGCTCACACAAAGAGCAAACTATCTTGTACTCATACAAAAAGTGAAGTATCTTGTACTCACATAAAGATGTATTTACACAAAAAGTGAACTTTCTTGTGCTACAAAAATATGTACTCACACAAAGAGTGAACAATTTTGTACTCACACAAAGATGTACTCACACAAAGAGTGAACAATCTTGTACTCACACAAAGATGTACTCACACAAAAAGTGAACTATCTTGTACCAACACATAGATGTACTAACACAAAAAGTGAACTATTATGTGCCCATGCAAAGAGTGAACTATCTTGTACTCACACAAAGATGTACACACACAAAAAGTGAACTATCAAAGATGTTTTCACACAAAGAGTGAACTATCTTGTACTCATACAAAAAGATAACTATCTTGTACTTATACAAAGAGTGAATTTTCTTGTACTTACAACAGTGTCAGCTATCTTGTACTTACGAGCCACAGTTGTTGGCGTCTGCCATCATCCTGACACTGACGGCTACCTCTCCCAGTTTGGCAAAAGCACTGATAATGGCTGGCTCGTCCAGGCTACTGTCCAGCTGCAGAAAAGCAGACCAGAGACTTGAAACCAGAAAATGATGTTTTACAGCTACAGACATTTCAGTTCTCTACAGAATGTCTGTTTGAGCTGTAATAAAGTATCTACACTACAAACAACCTACTGGTCTGGTGATAAAACCCCACTGGTCTGGTGATATTATCTCACTGTTCAAATAAAAACACCCCATTGTTGTAATGATAACACCCCACCATTCTAATGATAACACCCCACTATTCAAGTGATAACATCTTTTGTTCTAATGATAACACCCCACTTGTCTATTGATAATATCCCAATTTCCAATTGACATCCTATTGTTTTAATAACATAATATCACACTGGTCGGGTGCTAACATCTGAAACCTCACAAAAAACATCAGAAAATTGGCTGGGATCATCATCTCTTTATTATTGTAGTTAATGTTGATAAAGGCTACTGTGGAAACGTCCAATGATTTCATGTATTGGTTCCCCAATCATGAAGCTTCTTAATTCACATTTCATTTTCCGACACTAGTTTGACTACAGTCACCACTGGTTTCATCATGTTTACAAACAGAAATCAAACAACAGCAAATGCACAGCAGATGAAAGATATTAGCCAAAAAGGCTATTTTCTTCAGTGTCAGTTAGTTCTTGTGCTATTACCCTTATTATTTAGCAACACAGCTACAGAATTATGTGCAAACTGAGTGTTATAGAAATTTTGTTTTGTGTGAAGAAACTGATTGTTTTGGGAAGTTCTCTTTACCAAATAATGGTGCTCTGTTATGATATTCCAAAAGTTTCTCTGGAATGAGATCTAATTACAGACTGTTTATATTTTAGTTATATATTGGTTCATTTGTGATTTGTTTTAGATATATATATATATATATTATCGAGTTCTCCTTCAGCGGCATGATAGCGAGTGGAAACATTTAATTTTACAAATTTCTCCAAACATCTTGTTTGATCATTTACTAATATTTAACTACTAACACAATTTAGTTATTGTAGCAGCATTCTAATGTTATTCCTCAACAATCCCTGGTCACTTTAATGGATATGTTTGTTGCATGGCAGCTGAATAAATATGGAATGTTTTAATGGGTTCACCTCATCCTGATCCTCCTGTACCTTGTGGTATCAAGATGAAGGATAACTGAAGGGAAAGGCCCCTTTTGTGTGCCTTGTAAAATGGGAGTCCTATGGACTCTTTAATTTCCTCTGTCCATCGCTTGTACTAAAAGCGAAAGCCTTAGGTATTAAGAAAAATAAAGACAAACAGTTTGTGGGGGGTGGGGACTTGAACCAGAAAGGTTCTAGCCCAGACATGAGATCTTTTGTATACAGTCTAGATAGCAGTAACAGTAAACTAGGCACACTAACCATAGGCCCTAATCTGAATCAAAACAACTGGAACTATAATTAGCACATTAACATTTGTTTATTTTACTAAACTTAGGACAAAACT